CACCACCCTCTGGGTGTGGCTGGTCAGCCAGTTCCCTATCCACCACATAGACCATAATGTGTCAGTTCCTCAAGGAGGAGGCTGTGGGAAACGGTATTGAAAGCCCTGGAGAAATCCAGCTAGACAGTCACAATCTTTCTCTAAGGTAGAAGATAACCATCAGTGTTTGCCCCTGGGACAGTGATGTAATGGGCTGGTATCTCCCAGCTCCTTCCTGGTTTACAATTCGATGTCACCAACAGCTTGTCAGCTTTTCATTCCCCAACTTGTGTGTCTGCCACTGCTCTATAAATGTGCTCTCTTCAACATCATCAGCTGTATGCTCTGCTTCTTGCTGCAGCTTTGTCACAACATGGCAAACATGTAACTTTTGCCGAAGTACACCCGGGATGATCAAAGCCGCTGCTAAAAGGGAATACAAGAAATAGGATGTTTCTGTTTTCCTTTTCTTGTATTATTTCTTTTCACCAGTTAGTGCTTCATGAGAAGACTTTCGCAAAACAATCCAGCTTCATTAAGGAATCATAGAAACATAGAATGGCTTGGAAGGGATCTTTAAAGGTCATCTACTCCAACCCCCCTGCCATGAGCAGAGACATCTTCAATTAGATGAGATTGCTCAGAGCCCTGTCCAGCCTGACCTTGAATCTTCTTTAACTTCTTCTGGCAATTCAAGTGAACTTAAATCAAGCATTTACCCATATCCAAAAACTTGTTGCCTCCTTCAAAGCAGATCTAAGCAGCACATCTTCCGTCTGCAGAAGTTTTTGTACCTTTCAGACACCCTGCTGTAGCCTTTGCTATTGGTTCAGTACAATAATCCTGGTCTGCAGTGCCAGTTCTGCTCTGCTTGCTTGCCACCGTCTGTTTAAGTTGAAGCACCAGGTTACAGACTGCACAGTTAGTTCAACACTCTTACTTTAGTTCCTTTACACCTCTTGGGTAAATACCATCTGATCCCCCTGGTTTGCACCTGTCTCATCTGTGTTTTCCAAACCGTCTGTTGTCGATTCTATCCCATAACCTTCTCTGACATCCTCCTGGAGTCGAAGGTGTTTTTTCCTCCAATCGTGATACTCAAATCTGAAGCAGAGCCATGAGCTGAGACCTTGAGTGCCAAAGAGAGCAGCAGTATTACCTGATGTCTTCAGATGGTGTTCCTTGTTATACATCCCATTACATGTGTTTCTTCACAACAGCATGGTACTTTTGCCTCATCCTCAGCATCCTTTTCCTACACCGTCCTTTCTGCTGCCTTGTGTTATTTTAAGACCTGCTTATCACTGGTTTGTTGGAGGCATCTTTAATTAAAAGGTGACAAATTGATAGGTTTGAAGTTGGTTGGCTTGTTATTTCAAAGAGCTGAAGCCACAGTATTGTGACCAGTCCTATATATCCGTTCTGGACTCAACGAAGCTCCAAAAAGGAGAAAAGTGGTTTGCAGTATCTGTGATTTATATATATATTTATTTCTTCTTAACTGTTTTTTGGTTGTTGGTTTTCTTGTAGTTGGGTGTTTTGTTTTGGATTTGGTCCTCAAAAAAGGGAGGCTGTTTTCAAGCTGAATGCTTCCACATGGGTTCTTCTCCCACTAAAACCAGGCATCGGCTCTCGAGTCCTTCGGAGTGCAACAGTGTAGTGAAAGGATCACTGTCCTGGTGTGAACGAGGGTGTGGGGGCCTGGGGAGGAAGGTGTGGTATCCCCCAAGGTCTCTTGCTGGGAGCAGAGACGCTCTCAGGCTGTGTGAGGGGTATGCCAAGGCTGTAGAGGAGGATTTGCAGGCAGAGGAGGAGCGAACCATCTGTGCTTCAATCGCCCCAGCAGGCTGGGCACAGTGTGTGGATGGATGGTGCCCTTGCGTGCAGGAGGACAGATGGCAGGCTGCTCCCCAGTTTCCACTGCAACCTTCAATGCTTGCCTCCATCACACGCTGCATGCCTTTGGCTTTATGAGGCCAGACAGAGAAGGACTGAAATGACACAGGGTCGGCACGAGTGTTGCTTGGCTGTCATGGGTGGATGTTTTCAAGCTGGAAACATCAGGATTTGTGGCCAGGAGACCCAGGTGAACAAGCAGAGCTGTTGCAGGTAGAGACAGTGCTATCCCCCCTCACAGCTATCCCCTAATGGGGCAGCACAGCCCTGGGCTCTTTGCAAGGCAAAACTGGGCCATCCCTGGTGATGTAGCGAAACACACCGGGCAACAGAGCCCTTCAATGGGAGGCAGGCACCTGACTCCCTTGGCAATGTGATGCTGCCCTGCCTGTGACTTGGAGCCTTCCCAAGCAGCTGTCAGTCACCATTGCTGGCCCTGTTCTCGCTCACATACAGTATTATCTCTACCCGCTGCTGCAAATTGGCTCTGAGCAATCCTTGATCTGTCAGCATCGCCTACCCACTCTCAGATGTCACCAGCCCCCGCTGCTGCCCTGCTTGGTAACGTGTCTCTCTGAAATGTAATAATTCATTAAGTTGAGCTTAACTTCCCCCCCCCCTCCTCTTTCTAATGGACAAAAGCAATTAAGCTCCATTAGGGATCAAGCGCATGGGAAGTGTCTTCCTCAGAGACACTGCCACAGCTGCACAGACCTTGTCCCTGGATGTGTGTGGCACCAGCTTCTTACAAATTAGGGTCCCATGAGCAAATGGTTGGTTAGGGGAAAATGTTTGATGAGGGGAGTGCTGGAAAAGATGCTCTGCTCCCTCCTCTGGGAAAAAGTGATTTAAGGTTCAGCTGATCCTTCTGGCTGGATTTTATTGTGGACACATGATGATGGCTTCTCTTACCATGCAGCACAAGGAAGCACTAGCCTCAGCGGAGGAGGAGCTGGAAGACAGAAGAATGGGCAAGCAAGAGGTGGCAGAGAGGGGCCAGATTCTCAGCTGATGTAAATCAGGGAAAGCTTTCCAGGTGCTTCCAGTTGCTGAATATATCTGTGGGGCCTGGCTGGCAAAAGTTCTGCCAAGGTGCTGGGTGGCATGGGCTTCAGCACATGGGAGCACCAATGGAGCAAACCAGAGGGAGAGAGGCAACTTCCCCACTAATTCTGGTTGCAAATGGCATCTTCGCATTTCTTGATATTCCAAATTTGCTAACAAAGGCCAGTGAGCAGTGATGGTACAGGTCCTGCCTTTCCTCCAGCTAATGCAAGGATGTTTTTTTGCATGGCATATCCAAAACTGAGAGTGCGTTTCACTGTTGGCTGTGGGAGGTCCTTCCTTCTCCCCCATCTCCTCCCACCCTCCTTCCCTCCACTTAGGCTGCTTTTCTCTTCCTTGTCTTTTGTTCTCTCCCCCTTCCCTGCCCTAAGAAGAAAGTCTCATTTCAGTCTGAAAGCCAGCAATGGAGGGGGAGAGTTGTTTGATGCTTAATGCCAGAGCAGCAGGAAACTTCACCTTCCTGGGGTGGAATTAAAAATGCTTGAATTGTCTGGGGATCTTAAACAAGAGATGCAGGGAACATTCAAGGCTTTTCACACAAACACACATACACACACATGCAGAAGCCCACACAGCATTAAGGGTGTAATAGCTCAGCTGGGGTAATGCACTTGAACTCCCTCTGCAGCAGACAGACCAATTTTTTCAGTTCTTTTGAATTTTTTTTTTCTTTTGAGGCTGGAGATTGCTGCTAGTCTCCAGGGGGAGAGACATTTGTCTTGCAGAGAGAATGGTGCCATTTATTCTTTGCAATCACTCTTCCCTCAGAGCACCCTGGAACTGCGAGGAGGCTGAGGGCACAGGCTGTGTTCGTCCATGCCCCTGGAGCTTCTGTGGCTGCTGGGGCTTGGATGGGAATGGGAGCTGCAGCCAGGATATTGCATCCCCTGGTGTTGTTGCAAGGAAGGCTGTGCTGGGGGGATGTCTGTTGTGAGAGATGCTTTCTGTGTGCAAATGTGATCATCAGTAGAGGTGCAACTTGCAAGTCAAGATGCCCAAGGTACATGGTGTGTGCAAGTGTGGGGCGTGGGACCTTCCAGAAATAGGTTCAGTTGTGTCATCTTACATATGACCCATCTTACACCCATGGTGTGGGTGGGAGGTTGCCTACATTGCCAACCCTGTGTTTCCTGCTCGATATTTCAATTTCTTTGTGTGTGATGGCCTTTGCATACATGCTTAGGGCTCCATTTGCTGCTTCATACAAGGTGGATGAAAAATCTGCCTGGGTCTTCTACATATGGGCATAGGTGTGTGTGAAACAGAAAGAGGACCATGCTTACCAGCATGGTTTTGTGTTTTAACTACATGTGAGAAGATGTATATAGCCCTAGCTACATATGAGTGTCTTTCACAGCTCTGGACTGAACTATAGGTGAAATAATATGTCTTAGGTACTATTTATGTGTGTGAGCACCTGGATGCTAGCGTATCTGTGCACCACATGTGCTAAAGGCTACATGAGCAGGGGGCACAGCACTAGCTCTGGCCAGTGTTGATCAGCATTTGACATGCCCTTGCCTGCACAGAGCCCTTGCAATGCTGTCTGCACTCCTGCCCACTGCAGAGCGGTGCCAAGCTGTTGTCCTTCTCTGGACTGGTCACTACATCTGGACAGTTCGTGTGAAACACTGAAGTCCAGAGGAGGACAACAGGGATGTCTCAAGTCCTGGGAAAATACTTTAGGGAGAAGCTGGAAAGAAAAAGGATTCAGAGGAGGAGGTAAAGGTGGCAGATAGGACTTGCCCTCTTCCATTCCTGTGCTGCCTATCCACAGTGCCCGGTTTTTATTCCTAAAGGGACATGCAGAAGCTGAGTTGGTTCTGGAGGCAGGTGGCACTGGGAGCACTTTACCTGAACAGCAGTGGCTCCCAACTGGGGCATGCAGGGCTGAGTGACCAAGCAGGGGGTTTGCTTACATGCATCCATTCCTTTCCTCTTGCAAAGAAGCCTCTCCACCTCTGGTTGTTCACCCATACCCTGGCCATGCTTTGGATGAGGATGGCTGTGCATCTTCCCAATCCCAACTCCTCTCACCATCTTCTTCTGCCCTTTCCCAGGGAGTTTGCCAAAGAGCGTGAAAGAGTGGAGAACCGCCGAGCCTTCATGAAGCTACGGCGCCAGCAGCAGATCGAGCGGGAGCTCAATGGCTACCGGGCCTGGATAGACAAAGCGGGTAAAGGCTGCCGGGCCACGGGAGGTCCCTGCGGTATGGTGGGCACCACATGCTGCTGGTTATGGGTGGTGGGGATGGGAAGGGATCCCTGAACATCATCCAGTGCAACCCCAGAGTTGCACAGGTGCTTACATGTTGGCATTGGCTTCATGGGTGAGCACGGTCCCAGATGGTGTGAAGGTCTAGCCAGGCTGCAAGCAAGGACATCACCAACATGAAACCTCATGTTTTGTGGCATGAAACTTGTATTTTGAACATAAGGTGTATTACATCTCCAGGGGAGGCTGTGAG